GGCCTAAGACCCAACAGCCTACAACTGTCATGCTGAAGAATTTTAACTTTGTCCTGTGCACAAAGCAAATCAGCACTGTGCCAAGATTAAAACAAGAGCAACACTCTTATGAGCAGATGCACCAGGAGGCACCAGCCATTGTGTGGGGGCTGGGGAGAGGCTCACAGGATGGCTGCAACCTGCTTCCATGGCCAGGGCTGTTCATCGCTTGTCATGGCATTGTTTCCCATGCTAGGACTATGCAGTATCATTCCCCCATACAAAGGTATTTGGATAGACCAATTGAGTCTGGGAGGAAACCGTGAAGGAAACAATGAAAGATCACCCTGGACCAAAAGAAAGGCCGCTGGAATGGTAGCAAATAATTATTTTATAAAAGGGGAGGAAGGGAGAAGTCATTGCTGTCTGAAACAGTTCCCTTGTGCTGAGGGAAAGTCTATTAAATGACATGTCTTTCCAGCAACCAAAAGCAGCTCTCCTTGGGTTCCCAGTAGTAAGAAGAATGGAAGCCTAAGACTGTTTCCTCACTGCTATCAGAACCAGAGGGATCTAGGGATGGGTTTTCCAGCAGCTTGAGAAAAGAAATGTGGGTGGGGAATGTGGGTGAAGGCTGGAGAGGGTCCCAGGGGAGCTCAGCTGGGGAATGTGTGCGTGGGATGTGGGATTGTAAGTGATCGGGGACAGTCACGGTGTGCTATCTATCTGGCCATTTCTCCCCTGTGCTGTATAATGATCCTCTACTCTTAGTAAAAGTCTGCTAACCATATACCCACTGGGAACCATCTGGGGTATGGAAATAAAAGAAAAATGGCGATGTGATCACTGGGAAGGGGCCAAAGAGAAAGGATATAAAAAAAAACAATATGGGAATTGTTTTCTTTCTCTCTCTCTGACTTTCTCTCCCTACCTCCCTCCTTTTCTTTCTACTTCTCTGTGTCTGTGACACTGAATATACACTTTCCTTCATTTTATTGTAAAGATGCTGTACAGAGGAGTTACAGTTACATGAGTAAGGCAATGAGTCCATTTCTTGTTGAGCATTGTTACCCCCTTTTTTTTCTCTTTCTGCCCATTCCTTACCACATTTTTCTCTTTTTAGGCAAGTACTGGGGTTTGAATTCAGGGCCTTACCCTTCACTAGGCAAGATGCTCTACTGGTTGAGCCATGCCTCCAGCACAGAAATAGATTACAGAAAAGGTTTTAGTCAGATCTTGAACACAGCTGAATTTAACTAATAATAAGTACTTTTTCCTTATTTAAGTTTTGAAGAGATACTGCATAGATCATGGTTCAAAACTCTTAGAGTATCAAATAGGAACAGGAAAATACTCTCTTTCCCACATTTACTCAAACCCACTCCATCGTAGGCAACTAATGGTATTGGCCCTGGTAAACCTCAAAGTATATGGTATAACTTGATAAGAAAAATACGTAAAGTTATTTTTCTAGTAATTTCCGTGAATGTGCCAATCATACATTCTGTGTGACAAGTTGTCTTTTCATCCTCCCTATGAGCCCACTTCAAGGTCTCACTCTATTCCTGCACTTGCATGGAAGTCGCCTAAGAGTTCTGATATAATAAGCATTTGGATGAATCGATATGACACAGCTTGGGCATGCTTAGCCCAGAAATATGAAAGCTGTATTATATTGAAATACAAAACTTTCAGAATAAAATTAAATTGTGAAGCATTTTAGAATTCAGGCTTACAGATAACGCATGCACAACCAGTAAGATCTATGCAAAATTTCTGAAATTTTAAAAAAAACAACAAACTTGAAAACATGCCCAGACTCAAATATTTTGGATAAGCAATACTCAACCTGTATATCCTTCTTTTTTCCTTTACTTAAAAAAATGTTTGGGGGGTTCAAACTCAAGGCCTTGAGTTTATTGGGCAGGCAGCATACTATGGTGCCACAACCTTACTCCCCCTGTTTTTCCACTGGTTATTTGCATGTCTGGCCCACAACCTGTCTATTTTAGGCTTCCTGTAGTTGCTGGGGTGACAGGTACACATTACTTCATCCAACTTCCTTCTACTGGGATGGAGTGCTGCAGATTCTTCTGACTGAGCTGGCCTGTAACTGTGTTTGTCCCAAGCTTAGCTTTTCACATAGATTAAGATAACAGGCAGTTGACACTGGTAATGGTGATTCCTATGAACCTAGCACATTTTCTCTGAGGGTGAAAAGGGGCCTTACTTTACCTTTGGGAAATCTGTTTATGAACTATAGATGACTGAGCTAATGTTGAATCCTCTTGTTTTTCTTAAATGGCATACAGGGTCTTTTTTGAAGGTCAGTAGGACATAATCCACCCATGGAATAAATTCTAAAATATACTTCCTATAAGAAATTGCAGTGGTCATGATATTCTAATTAAAGGCAGTGAATAGTGACCCTTTTATATTTCAGTGTTTTAAAGACCCATTAAATCAGAATCAACAAGGGAACAGATTGTCATTAGCTAAGCCAATAAAACTTTCTTTCTTTGCATCCTTTCTATTCCCTACCTCATCTACAGTTACTAAAATCAAGCTCACAGCTACCATCTTGACAGATGATAAATCTGGAAGCGATCAAAATCTAATGTGGTACCTCATACCTTTTTACCAATTAGTGTTATTAATTTTCTTAGATAACATGGTCTTTCTGGATTCATTTGGACATTATCAATCAGATAAATGGGTGAGCAACATTTGAGTACTTTGCAGATGGAAATGGTGTCACGTTTAGATTTGAAAAAACATTGGGAAACCTAACTATTTCACTCATTAACACCCTCAAGACATGCCATGAGTGAAGCAGACAAGTACCGCAGGCTCTTCCCAGTCAATCCATTCAAGTTTCCGCTGTGTCTTTTCTATTCTCTGACTCCATGGCAACAGGACACTGACCTGCCCTTAAGGGAAATGGAATCACTGGCAAGACTGAGACTTTTAATAATCCTACTTGTCAATACAGGACAGAATGAAATGGATAGATTCCTACCAGGTTACTTTACCAACGACTAACAAAATGAGTGGCTGCCAGCAAGTGACCAGCCTATGTCCAGAGCATTCTCCCCAAAAAGCAATCATCACATCATTAGTGTCCAAGAAAATCCACGCCACAGGCACCTGTCCATCATGACACCTACTGAGTTTGGACATCTTTTTTCAATATTTACCTTTTCCTCAAAAAGTAAAAAGGATTGACTTATTCACTGGGATTAATAATCTGATTTTTCATTTTCCAGATTTATTTTTAAGAAAAAAATACAAATATCTATAGGAAATGACACATTCTGTTGTGCTAGTTTTAAAATCAGGATATTATTCAGAAATATCAGCTTCCATTGACCAAACTACAATTCTGAAGGAAAATAAGGATTGAGAAATAACAGTTCTGATATTCAGGATCTATATCCTCATCCCTCACACAGGTAAGACAGGCCATCTTTTCTCCTCTTTCTTTTCCTTGATGTGTCCTATTGTGTGGCTTGACATTTGTGACAGACTGTCTTTTTGGTGGTACTACTGTCTGGCTCAGAAATATAAACAGCACTTCAGAAATTTATTTTACAATTAATCTTCTGATTTGTCATGCTAAGAAGATCAGCTTCCAGATTTTCTATTCTAAATTACTCTTGAACAGATTTTATGCACAGGCAAAGAAATAGCTCTATTCTTGAATACAAACTGAAAGTTGAGACTTGAGACTCTGTGTCTCTGTCTCTATCTCTGTCTCTGTCTCCCCTTCTTGCTCTTTCCCATGTTAAATGTAAATGCTTCACAGTTTCCCCAATCAATTATTTGTAAAAGAATACATATAATTCTGCTGTGCTGCGGAGACACCAGTTATTTTTAAAAGTCACATTATTTTTTCATGAGCCAGCTGCTCAACTGATGTACTTTTGGAGAAGGCTCTCCTCGTCTCTGATGCTATATTACTAAATTAATTCCCCCACCCCTGCAATAGGACCACATTGCTGCTCTCCACCCTATCTATTTCAGGGCTTCTGGGTGAGTTTCCACCATTGATGATCAATCAGCCTGAGGTTCCTTTGGTTTGCATCAACTCTGGACAACAGGGGGTCTGCAGTGGTTTAATTAAAGATTAGCAACCACCAGAAGGAGCAGTGCTCACCATCCTATCTGTTCCCTTATTATGTCTATCTCAGTTCTAGGTTGGTTTAGAAGCTGGGTTCAGTACAGCTTCAGTGGGGCCTGCTGCTGTGGCTAGCTGTCAGTTTCTTTCAGTGCAAAATAGTACCAGGCAAAGGGGTGCTCCCCAAAAAGCATATAAAATCTGCTAGCAAACCGTGGTGCCTTTCAAATAAGCAGAAATGTAGTGGGGAAGAAACTCAGATCACCACAACACGTTCAGGTTGCATAATCAGTCACTTGGGAGTGTCTGAATCTCTGGTGAGGTATGATGATGCTTTTGGGTGGGGCAAAGGCCGGCCTCTCTAAGTCTTCCAGAGATAGGCATAATTGCCATAGTCATTATGCTTCTGTATCTGTCAGTAATTCATCTAGGTTAGATCATCTACAAGACTTGGCTGGCCCATGGCCACAGACAGTCACCCGTCCCCGTGAGAGGCAAACACAAAGGTCTTGCATTTGGCTGGGCTGAGCACAACTAGAAATGGAGCCAGCAATGCCTCAGATGGCAACTCAAACGTGCTTCATCAGACTGGCTCCCCATTTAACATTAATGGCGTGTTTTTCCTTTCGAATTCCAAACAAACTCACAAATGATTGTTTGTCCAACTCCTAGCTCTGACCATATGTGTGTGGATAAACCAATTTCATTTCTGGGTCCTAGTATCTTCATGTGTAAAATGAGGAATTTGGACTGGAGATCTCTAAAGTTATTTTTAGCCTCCAAATTCTAGAGTTCTTTAGGTGCAGATGGAAGTACTCCAGCATTTGGCAAATCCCATCTAGGTCTGACCACCTTCTTTTTCAGTACCTACTCAAACAACAGAGGCTGTCTCTCCCACACAGCTCACCTTTTCCACGGGTGTGTGTTCTTCATTGGTGACACTTGCTTTCCTTGATTCATTTTTTGACCTGCTCAGCCTTCTGGATACTTTTTCTCTGAGTAGGGTTGCATATCCAATGTGTTCATAGATGGGGTTAGTTGTCATTTTGGAAATGTATTCAGCAGCTTTTGTTTCTATGTACAACGTTATCAAGCCATCTGTCACCAGATCATGAATGGATTCAAACCTCTTCTCGCCTACGAAATGCTTCCCATCGTGGAAGAGCCGGTAGTTTAAGGTCTGGTTTCCAAACCTGCCCAGGATAAAATAAAGGGTTAGCATACTGAAGAACAGTAACATCAGCTCTGAAGCCTGTGCCTGGTACAGGCCTAAGGTTTGGACACTCAGTTATCTTAGAAATCTTCCAAGCTGGGTAGAGATACTATTTCCTGTTTTAAAGTGGACACATGAAAAGTTGGAGGCAAATGTAATCCGAAGTAGTTATTTGGGGTCCTCTGATCCTGTAAGTCACCTTGGCCATTGAGTTGTAGCATTTCTCAATTGAAAAGCCTGATGGTTGCTCCTGATATATAAATACTGTACCTATAAAATTTTTAATGGGGCCTGACAAGAACTTGTGTAATTCATGACACCACCATTGACCCTGATGTTTCCTATTAATTACATCTTTGGCCATCATGAGAACATAACATATTCCCGCCACCCCGGTCAAGGTGGAAGACAGACATGGGAGGTGTGCTTAGTTAGTGCACCATCATTGTTGGCACGCCAGCAATATCACGCCAGGGTCCTCTATTTTTTGGCCCTGACTACTCCCTGTAGTCCTTAGTTTTTCATGTCATAGCACCTGCTTGGGTCCCTACCTAGGGTACCAGCTCCTGATGCTCATTTGCTGGAAAGAGAGGAAAGTACTTTGTATACCTAGAGTACTACACAGCATTTGAAGTATGGCCTCATCTTTGCATCATTTAAGATACATTCTAGAGGGCTGGGAAGATGGCTCAGTGGTAGAGCACTTGCCTTGCATGCATGAGGCCCTGGGTTCCATTCTCAGCACCATGTAAGCAATAAGAAAAAAGCCAGAAGTGGCGCTGTGGCTCAAGTGGTAGAGCGCTAGCCTTGAGCTGAAGAGCTGAGGGACAGCACCCAGGCCCAGAGTTCAGGTCCCACGACCGGACACCCCCCCAAAAAAAAAAGATACATTCTAGAGATCTCCAGTTAAAACTTGAGAAGTTTCTTTCAAAGGCCATAATATCAATAGTGTGCACATACCATTTGCTAGCTGTTTTGTGAAGCTACCTCATTCCCTTTATGGAAAAAGGTCTTCTATTACCAGGAAATGACCTGCTAGCAGACAAACTGATTATGAAATTAAGCATCTGTCACAAACCTCACTAGGACTGTGTTAGAAATCAAATGACATAAAATACTGGATGAGCGTATGGAAATGGTATAGAAAAAAATGCTTTTATATACTTACGATGACCAAGTATTGAGCTTATGCCTGTAATATTAGCTCATCGGGAGATAAAATCTGAGGATCATGACTCCAAGACAGCTGGGTAGGAAAGCCCATGAGCCTCTTACCTCTAACAAACCACCCCAAAACCAGAAGTAGAGCTAAGGCTCAAGTGGTAGAATGTCAGCCTTGGTGGAAAAGGTGAGCGACAGTGACTAGGCACTGAGATCAAGCTCCAGTACGGGAGCTTGAAATAAGTAAGTACCTAAATAAATACTGGTGATGTTGTGTTGTTGGTTAAAGTCCTAGGAGACTCCTGTTATACAGGCTTGTTGGCATGCTGCATCATGCCTGCCATCAGGATGAGCTTGGGATGAAGATGATACCTGAAAGAAAACTGTGAACAAGCAAGTCCCAATAGGTTATGCTAGGCACACACTTACAAGATGGGGTGAAGCCCTTGTGGAATGATGGTTGCTGGGAAGGAGGCAGAGGTGTGGCTCTGTCAGCTAGCTCCATATTTCAGGCAGAAACAAGTAGAGGAACAATGAGCTTCCAGATAATTTTCCAATGTACTGTGCCACAATGAACACAGCCCATGTCTACAAGTAATAAGCTGATAAGACCTGCAGCCCAAACTCTCCAATATGCTGCTAGTGTTTTAAATATCAGAGGGGGAATGATTGTCTGTGGGTACTGAGTTTCTGCTTGGGATGATGAAAAGCTCTGGGAATAGAGAGAAGCTAGTGAGATAACACAATGTGCTTTCGGGCCTCTGAGTTTACCCTTAAATAGGGTAAAATGATACATAGTATGTGTATTTATATAGGTATCAATATACATATCGGTAAATATACAAATATGTACCTATATAAATATACAAAATATATGTATATTTTGCCACAGATTTTTAAAATGGGAAACATATGAAAGGCATGATTTCAAGAGGAGTACATTGCATGCGTGTAGCGGTATGTCACATAAATCCCTCTAGCACAAACAAAATATGCTAATAAAAATCTCAAAAATAAAGTAGGAAAAACGTGAGCAGGTCAGTTTCCTAATGAGCCTACTTTGTTCATTGTTTACATTTGAAGTATTCGTTGATGGCATCCTGGCCATAACCCATAGCCACTACAGAGCTGCACCCCCCACTTTACATCTTTCTTCAGCTTTGTGGAGGATGACAACTCCCTGAGTTGCTAGTCTTCAAACCTAAGGAGGTGGATTTGGTGCTCAGGATGAAGGCCGACTTCGAACACACCAGCAATAGGCCTCATCCCAGTTGGATGCAAACACACAGAGATAGGTCAGGGGTTGGCACTGGTAAGGCTTTGCAGCCTCACAGGCCAACGTGAATGACCTTGGCTTCAGGGCCTCTTGTGAAGCAGTGCATCACATCCTGTACACTACCTGCAGCAATGCCTTCCTGGGCCCTCAGCAGTGGATTATGGGTAAAGTCAGATTTCCAGCACACCCAGGCCTCTGCCCAACTCAGGGATGGCAGGGGAAAGCAGCAAAGCCACCTTCAAACTCATACAAACCGTGAGTGAAACTCAGCTCACCTTAGCGCTAGCGTGTAACATCCTGGCTGGCGTTGGCTTTCCCGAAGGATGTAGGCACCCTCCACACCTCCCAGAAGCTCATCAGCCTGCTCCCGGGAGATAATCCCATGAAACCTGGGGAAACAAGACCGGCATTGCTTGGAACAGATCATGTATAAGGTGGCCCCCAAAAAACTAGGCTAAAAAAGATGACGGGTTCACTCTGAATCTACAGCCCCCTCTGGATGAAGAAGGACCTGAGTATTGCACATCTCGAAGACCCCTGGGCCTTCCCGCTCTCTTCCCCCCCACCAGCGTGCTCTGACAGATACTACTCAAATAAGCAAACACAAGAACACCCAATTTTCACCTGCCTTTCTACTATTATCTTTGCTCTCAAGATGAAAATGGAAGTCTAAATAAAAAAAGCCAGTTTATGGCATCTTAAAAAAAAAAAGAACAATTACCAATTTATCTCTCAGTTCAAATGCAGAGAACTATGTATTATCCTGATTGCAAATGAACACCTATTGATCAGTAACCTGCTTGCTTCAGGTGCAAGACGCTATTCATTTCAGAGGCTCATTCTCTGGAAAGGAAAGCTGGCTGTAATCCACATTCTTCCAGTCACTAATGTTTTGAGAGCAATTGCTGAAGGAATAGGTCTAGAAAAGATACTATCTTCTATTTTTTAATTTAAAAAATATATATCTTCTTTTTTTACCATGAATAACGTCAACACACATGCACATAGAAAACATGGCATGCATGTCGGGGAGGGCTTCATCTTGGCCAGGGACAGCTGGTACCTCCTTAGGTCCTTGCTTAGGTTCATTCTGTAGCCTATGGCCACCAGGGAGGCAGAGGGCAGTGGAAGCTGAGTCAAGCAGGCCCCAGACCGCTTCCCTGCTGCCCTTGAACAAGGATGGCTGTTCATCACTATTAATAGAAAGGTTTGATCAATCAGTGTTTCAGAGGAAGATGAGCTGCTAGGGAGTAAGGCCACTGCCCAAGGACAGGTTCCTGAGAATTGATCAGCACTTTCCTTCCAGGATTACCAAATCTTGGAGAATTAATCCAAGAAGGAATTTTCTAGACCAAGAAAAAAAATGTCTTTACTTTCTGGGAAGAAGGAGAAGAGGAGAGCTAAAGGGGGTGATATTGATAAAGATGCATTGTACTCATAAACTGACATGTTGACGTGTAACCCCTTTGCAGAACTACTTAAAGATAGTAAAAAAAAAAGTACAATGTCTCATAGTAAAAAAGAAAAAGAAAAGAAAGGGAAGGAAAACAAGAAGCCATTAGACAAGTTTTTAAATTTTTTTATACCCCAGGAATATCAAGATTAAGACAGAGGAAAAATAAGACAGAACCATATTTTAAAAATAAAAATACCCAACATGATATTGGAATATAAAATATATAATACATATATCTATACCTTCATATAGGTATATATAAAATAATGACATATTGATATAATGTTAAATTGTTATTCATTCGTATATATGTGCATGCACATATATATGAATGATATATATACCTTCCATGTCAATGTTCTTGTTCTAGGGAGTGAGTTAGTACATCACATGATATCTATATATGTGTGTGTATATATGTGTGTGTATATATGTGTGTGTGTATATATATATATATATATCACAAATATTCTGACAGTCTTTGAGTTCTAAAATTGGCTTTGTGAATCTCAGGAGCCATGACCTGGAGCTGTGCTTTCCTGGAGAAAGGATGAATACTGAGACATAATAGGGACCTTACTGTCCACAAGGAGACCTCCGTCTTTAAGGAAGAGTGTCTTTGCAGTGGGTTTGGGCAGATGCCAGCTCATTGGATCTAAGTGGGCCCATATAGAATGTGTGAAAATAAAGCTTGCACATCCATTATAAGGCTCTTGAAACAGAGGGAAGGAATGCCCTGGGCCCTGCCAACCATGCCATGCTTCCTGAACCAGGGTAGGAGGGCTGGGTAATGTTGTGGGCAAAGATGCTTGCAAGTAGCCATGCAGGTGTGTGTGTGTGAGAGAGAGAGATTGTTGGAAGGTAAGAGGGAGGATTGTGGAATGTTGCCCAATTCATCGTCAAAAAGGACAAAAGCTGTTGTCAGATGCAGATTGAGATGTCCAGAACATGCTTGACAATGGGCCAAAGCAAAGCAGAGGCCAGCACAGAAGGATGAGGCACACAAGCAGCACACTCCGGAGCCTGGCTTCTTAATACCAGTCATTCCTGTGGGAAAGAACTGAAGAAAAGGAAACAGGAGTTTAATGTGAAAGTAGCTAACTATAACCTCTTGAATTGGAAAGTATATGTGATCACCAGCCAGCACTCATTGGAGGCCAAGAACTAAGTTCACTTACTCAAAAGAATGTAACAATTTTGTATACCTTAACATCCAGTCAGTAGCTCCTCATTCCCTGATGCATGGCTTTAGGAAAGTCAGAATATCTGTGATGTACATATATGATATGATGTACCAGAAAGAAACAGTTAACGAAGGAATGATGATTTTTCTCTGAGGGGTAAGGATGAGATGTCTTTAACTATCTTCCTTTCTGATATGATCTGAGTTAGCAGGTATTATTAGATTTAAAAACTAAATGTAATATCTATCTGCAAAAGCAATACTCAGAATTCAAGTATCAAATATCTAGGAAGTGGCACTTTGGCTCATGTGGTAGAGCACTAGCCTTGAACAAAAAGAGGCTCAGGGATGGCGCCCAGGCCCTGAGTTCAAGCTTCTGGACTGGGGGTGGGAGGGAATTCAAATATCTAAAAGTACAAAGAAGTAAAAATATAAAAAATATAAGTAATTTCTCCCTAAGTTATCCATTGTCAATAGTGTGCTTCATTCACAAGAAATGCATTTCCAATTTCTAAAGCCAGCATGTAATACTTTTACCATAGAAAAAAAAACCCTGAAATAAATAAATTTAAGAAGAAACATGAAATCAGAAGGCTCTAAATTTATTTGCTTCTAAAACAAAGTGTTCCTTGTGTGGTTAAAAAAATGTTTCCTTGGTCTTTTTATTTTCTAGAACTGGGGATTGGAAAATAAGAACTGAAAGGTTATTCAACCAAATTTTTATGCAAAAAGAAAGCGCTCAATGAATACAATAGCATTTAGGATCCATGTGTCAAGTGTATATGATAGGTTTTCACTATTTTTTAAAAAAATAGTATTAAGTATGCTACTTTCAAGCAAAACCTGAGCAGTATATTGAGACTGGAAGTCATATTACAATATATACCAGATTTTAAGGACATGGGCTTGGAGAGAGAGTACCTATCCACATTCCTGGGTAGGTACTCATAAGGATGCTGAATTCCCAAAGCCCTGCAAAGGAAGGCTCTGACATGCAGCTGTGGCAATTAGGAAGGAGCACTGGGCTGTGTCCACTAAGAGGGTCATTAATCATGAAGTGAGTGACTCTGTTGGGAAAGAGAATGAAATGAACAAGGTTGGTATTGGCTGCGGGAACTTGGTAGGTGGACTATAAAGAGGCTTTGCTACCAGGTTGGCTCTGGGTAAAAGAATGACATGTACACTAATTCTCCCTCTGGTGAGGGGCTTTACAACCATACTCAGACTACAAATTATTTTATGGTCACACATATTTGTGTGGTAGTAAGGTGCCTGAGCAAATGAAGCAAAACAAGAGTTGGCATTAATTAGAAAATAGGGAAAAAGAGGATAGATACTAATGAATGTAGTAAAGCAATGTGAACATATATCCAAGTCAGGAGAAACTACCTTTTTAAAAAAAATAAGACTGTATGGAAATGGAATGTCTTCCCTGGCTACTGAGAACATAGAGTACATGAAAATCAGGAATTCAGTTACAGTGTAGATTTCAACAAACCAAATGTTTATATTGTATCAAGGTATACAGTGAAGTGAAATGCTCACAGAGAGCCTTCATTATGAAAAACACTGCCTTACATTTCAAATACTTGTGAGGTACTTGGAAACAGCTTTTGTGGAAAGAATTGTAGCACGAGCCACTTTCCCTGCCACCTTAATGGAAATCATGCACCTGAGTGTTGTAAAGAAAATTCAATACAAAGGAATCTGATTGCACTTATTCTTCTTACTAACCTCTTACACAATGGACATGTGATGAAGACCATAAATTAGAGAATTTTAAATATTGATATGACACACAAAGTGACTACTTATTAGATTGTTAAAACAAAAAAATAGTATAATACATACTCTCTTCCATAATATTTTGGTCTGTTTTCCACCTACATTAAAAAGAAGAAAAAGATTAATAATGCATTTGAATTCAAATCAGCTACATAAAAATTCTATTCAACTAAACAAGGTTAAAGTCCTAGTTGTGATTTTACTATACATTAGAGATCTGTGAAGCTATGAAATTAATCAATACATTCCACTGTCTTGGGTAAGGTGAGCTAGAGTTGGTACCTTTTTCTTCTCATTCTCTATCTAAACTAATTGCCTACAAAACGAATTTTCAGAGGAAACAAAGTACTGCTTATTTTATTATTAAGGAATTTGTAAAGATAAGGCTTCATTCATTTCTTGCATGAATAAAACATAAGCATTTATTTCAATCTTCATTAAATTGTTTCGTTATGCATTTGTAAAACAAATAAGGAGTACACGTGGATTAAAAACAAAATAGGCTTAATATGATCTCCATTCAAACAAAATTATTATAACATTCTTTTTTTTAACAAATGGCTAGTGGGCTGAAATTTATTGACAGCAGAGGTACACTATATAGAAGATAAGATTTAAGGCTTTAAAATTTATACACCTTCCAGAGAAGATTTCAACCACAACTTCAGCCTTAGGGTAATCATTTTAGATTTTGATCAGTAATCATTTTAGATCTTGATCACATGTTGGTAATCTACTTTCATAGGAGTGCTTTGTTTTCTGATGTTTAAGGTGTTGGAGTTGGTAAGAAATAAATGATTGTCATAATTGGCTTTCTTTTTGTTACTCTCATGCCAGGGGCACTCAAAATATAGTTGTGTTACATAAAGTTGTACATTTTATTGATGGTTGTACATACAGGAGTAAGATTATCTTTTTCCATGGGTCTGGTGGTTATTTTGTCTATAGTTCTTTCTGTCAACAGTCAAAAGTGTTTTCTCAGCAGGGCTCACAGACAGTGGTGGGATTTCAAGATGCCCTGCAGGCAGTTTCCTGCCCTACCTTCACCCTCCAAAGGATGCAGGGTATTTGAGCAGACAACAGGTCATTTGAATAGGAGAAAAGCTCAGGCCTAGAGCTCTGAGCACCATACTCACAACTCTGCTGGGACAGGCCTAGTTGGCACAAAACTAATTATCAACAATCAAATATGTGTTCACTCCTCTATGCACTTTACACATAAAAAGCATTCAACCAAGAGGGCATTCATAACTATCCATCTTCAAGATTTGGAGCCTGATCAGTGACTTTGTGTAGGAAGATTTAAATAACATTATTAACAGAAGTGCAGATTGTCTATATGAGGTCCTTTCTATAAATAATGTGTACTGTTGCTCTACAAATAAGCTTTAAAATATGAGCTGAACATTTTGTTATTTTATTTATATCATTCTATTGGCTTTCAAAGTTCTTGCTTATTTTTATGATACTGTTGGTGTTCAACTGCAAAACTATTGAATCATGCAAGAAATATAGAACTAGAAAAGTCAATGGTAGACTAGATAAAATGGTACAATCACTCTTTCTTCTTGGATAGGTAATACACCAGAATTTGATATTATTCCCTCTATGGAAGGACAATTGTGTGTGTGTGTGTGTGCGTGCGTGCGCGCGCACACACGCACACGCGTGTGCACATGTGTACTCACTGATACTAGGGCTCCAACACAGGGCCTGGACACTGTCCTTTAGCATTTTTGCTCAAAGTTGGCACTCTCTCACTTGAGCCATAGCTCCACATCTGACATTTGGATGGTGACTCGGAGATAGGAGACTCATGGAATTTCCTGCCTGGGCTGGTTTTGAACCTTGATCCTCAGATCTCAGCCTTCTGATATCTAAGATTACAGGCCTGAGCCACTGGTGCCCAATGAGAAGGACAATTTTATTTTTATACTTTTCTTTTTAGCATTTTGCAAAATCTGGATGTAACCCTCAACCTTGTTCTTTTTTCTCATCCTCTCATTTTTCCAAAAGTGGAAGGGTAATTAAGTTCCTAGATGGGCAGCACAGTACAGAAAGCCAACTACTCACTCTTGACATGAAGGTAAGTGGTTAATAAATGTTAAATTTAATTGACTCTTTAACAAGACAATAATTACTTTCAGTTCATTCATCAATCATAAAGCTATAAATAAAATATGTATTAGGTTCAGGGCTTTTTGCTCAGCTGCTCAAGCAGTAATGACCTCACAGGGGCAGGAAGGACATGCCTACAGGGTGCTCAGGGGGTTCTGCACTTGTAACGGGTAGGAAAGAAAACAAGGAGAAATCTAACAGATGCCTAAATATGGATATTTTATGGTGACTTAGAGTTCACCAAATAAGATCCTGCATAGTGAAAACTTTGGTCCAGTTGAGGGACAAATCTCTTGGGTAAGAGACTACTAGAAGATGAGTGTAGCTGGATGCCGGTGGCTCACACCTGTAATCCTAGCTATTCAGGAGGCTGAGGTCTGAGGTTCATGGTTCAAAGCCAGCCTGAGCAAGAAAGTCTGTAAAATTCTTATCTCCAACTAACTACCAAAAAGCCAGAAGTGGAGCTGTGGCTCAAGTGGTAGGGCATTAGCCTTGAGCAAAAGCTCAGGACAGTGCCTAGGCCCTGAGTTCAGCCCCAAGGCCCGCCCCCCCCCCCACACAAGAGTACTGTGCTATATGGGGCAAAATGTATATAGAAAAGGACCAGAGGAGGGGGGACCAAGATGGCAACGGGGCAGTAGGGAAACGCCACAGCTCTCTCCAACCACAAAGAGAGTT